TTTCACTTAGCAAACAAAAGTAGAGGCTGTAGCTTCATAAAGCTCCACCCACAGGTGCACTAAATATTATCCCTATAATAGATAGATTCAATTTCTTGGTCTCTCACTTTAATAATTATGTGTTTGCTTTAATGTGCTCTCAAGACTTGGCATTATGTGGTTTTTGGGCCTCTCTTTTAAACAACTTTTTATTAGCATATATGAGTTATATGCAATGATGGGTTGCATTATGATGTTTTGTACATACATAATTTATTTTTATCATATTTAAACTCATTATCCTCTGTTGTCTCCCTCCCATACCAGCTGCTACCCTTTTTCTTCCCAACTAGTTCCCTCTCTTTCATGATGTGTGTGTGTGTGTGTGTGTGTGTGTGTGTGTGTGTGCGTGTGAGAGAGAGAGATGGGGGATTAATGAGTTTCATTTGGGTGCTTACAGGAACATGGATAGGACCTTTCTTCAGGAGCATAGAGGAGCACAGGTATCTCAATACTGAAGAAAGTATACCTCCCTCCCCCCCCCCCCAACAACCATCAACTGTCTATAGATCTTCAGAGAGGGAAGGGTAAACTTCACCCCACTAGCAACAGTTAACTGTTTAGAATTCCCCAGGGAAAGGTGAGCCATTGTAAGTGCCCCCCCCCTTCATGGAACGTTGTTGATTGGTCCAGTCTTGTGCAGCTGCGCCACACTTTGGAGACCTTGTCCTCCAACATTCCACTCCTTTCTCCTGCTCTTCCTTTCTTCAAATCTCCTCTTAGACAGTGTTCCTTGAGCCTTGTAGGGTGTGATATAGGTGTTCTATTAAGGCTGAGTGTTCAACAGTCACTTACTCTTAGCACTTTGACCAGTAGTTATCTCTCCTCAGTAACCACTACTTCCTGCAAAAAGAAGGGTCTCTGCCCAGAGGTGACAGCAACATTTATCTATGGGAATAAACACAATTATTTAGAAGCTAATTTGATGGACACAGCATATCCATTTAGCAAAACAATGGAAGAAGCTTTCCCACTAGACCCATGACCTCTCCAGCCACAGGGCTGTGACCAGTCTTACAGTACTGAGCACTGGTTCTCTCCTGTGAAGCAGGCAATTAGAAAGTGGTTGGCTACCCCATAATGGACTAGCTACTGTTGCACTAGTGGCATATCTTGTCTGGCAATTCAGGAAGATAGCCCACAGGGTCCAAAGCTGAGTAAGACAACTGAGGACAGTTTCCCCACACCTGTCTGCTTAGCACTGCTGACTGTGAGGGCAAGCCAGCAGGGAGAGAGCATTCAGCTTACCTCTAGCTTAATTTCTCAATGTCTTTAGACCAGAGTATGTGTTGTCTTCATCAAGAGGATCTTACCATCTAATTCTAGTGGGTAGCCAACAGCAGTGGCAATCAGCTGTATTCTTTTGGAGACCCCCGAGGGATATTGTAGGGAGGTAGCTCATCCCTGGAAATGGGACTTTCATTTAAAAACCCATTCAAGAAAACTTCATTCAAATGATTTCTGGTCTCTTTTAATATTAAAAGGAAAATGAAAAGGGGTGGGTAGTAACCTTAAAAGTATGCATTTTACCTTTGTTAGTGTTGCAGGAGACTTATATCTTATATAAGTGGAAGGAGTTAGTTAGCTCACTTATTCTATGAAGAAAATAAAATCATAAATAAGATTAAAACATGAAGCTCAATGTACCTTGAGAAATCTTCAGACTCACAGATAAAATGCAGCACACCTAATGTGTGTACACAGCCATAAACCAGGCTCAACAAAGACAGTTTTTTTTTTTTTTTTTTTTTTTTTTTGTTGCAGAAACTGGGTCAGCAGACCCTATTGCTCCCAGGAGTGTCTGGTATGGAGTGGGGATGGGCAGACCCATCTCTATTCATGCGCAGGATTTACACATGAGACTTTTTAACAAGAAGAGTTCATAGTACTCATTAGTAGGTTTCCTTATTTGGAAGAGAAGTAAAAGATCGTGTGGAGCAGCTGCTGTGTAACACACTCAGGGTGGGCACAACATAGATCTGGATATGGCTCGGTCAGTTCCATAGTCATGTGGTATTTGAACAGATGCCCAGAAAGCATGAGTACCTACCTGAGGTCTTCCCAGGCTGGTGGGAAGGGCTCCTAATGAGCTCCGAGCAGCCCCTCTTCTCTTAATCCCTTAGGATCAGGGTTTTCATATATCTCATGTGTAAGGATTAAACATGAATATGTAGGTTACCACAAGATGGCATTCTATTATTTCAAGTAATGCCAGGTAGAGAGAGCCTTGGTTCAATTCATTTTTAATTTCTGAAAAGCGTTAAAATGTGTGCCATCCATGTCACAGTATTTAACTGTTTCACACAAACCTCTAATTTCCTTTGCTATTCTTTGTGGAAACTTGAGTTTTATGTCTGTTAACTCATGGAGGAAAACAACCTAGATTTTGCAAATGACATTTGTTAGAGTGAATAGTTCATGTTCTCATGTTTAGCTATTAAAAGTTTCATTTTCCTATAGCTGTTTGCAAGGATTGTAAAATGAGCAACCTTAAGTGTTTTCTACTATGTCTTCCATGCTTTTCCATCTATCATCCTCTCATATTTTCTCTTAGGCAGATCTGATGTATTGTTTACTGCTTTTTTTTGTTTCTTCAAGTCATATATTAATTTTATAAAGGCTACATGGTTTTAATTTCACAGTATTTGCCTGCCTATCTATCTATCTATCTATCTATCTATCTATCTATCTATCTATCTCCCTCCCTCCCTCCCTACCTACCTATCTATCATCTATGTATGCATTTATCAATTTGTGGTAATTTGAAAGAAAATGGCCCCCAAGGCTCATAGGGAGTGGTAATATTAAGAGGTATGGCTTTGTTGGAGTAGGTGTGGCTTTATTGGAGGAGATGTGTCACTGGGGGTGGGCTTTGAGGTTTCAGAGGCTGAAGCCAGGCACCCTCTCTTCCTGCTGCCTGTAGGATCAAGTCCTATTATGATGATAATGGACTAAACCTCTGACCTGTAAGCCAGCTCCAATTAAATGTTTTCCATCTTAAGAGTTGTGTGGTCAAGGTGTCTCTTTATGGCAATAAAACCCAAACTAAGACTCAATCTTATCATCTTCCTACCTGCCTAATCACAAAAAGATGAAGAGGGTCTTTATTATTTAAATGGATATCCTTTTTCTTAGTAGTTAAATATTAAAATTAAGTGGAAGTGTGAAGTAGTACAGTTGAACCTGTAAGAATTTCACTGACAATTTAGCGATGTAATCAGAACTGAGAAAGTTTTATTGCTGTGCCTGTCTGGCGATGCATTCTATTTTCCTTCATAATTTAGTTTCGTTATCTTCCTACAACATACAGCGTGACTATAACATTTACTTGGAATGCATTTATGGATATGTAATGAACAAGCTGGAATGCTGTAAAGGAAACAATTTCATTTTATGTTAGTGTAAAAAGGCTAATTCACACAGCTGTCCTCATGGTCTAGGGAGCTGCATATGTCTTGGATATCTGTCCAGGAAGTATCCTTTGTAGAGGAACAGACTCCTTGGTCCATCTTCTCTTACCAGCATGGATCTCTGGAGGGCTAAGCTTTATGGAGGTAATCATTGTAATAGGACCCATACTGAGAGAGTTTTATAATGCATTTCTAAGGATTCAGAAGACCTGAAGCTCACATTCTTCAGGCAAAGGACCTCTTTCCCCACTGCAGCCCGGACAGTGCACTTGGCTTCTGCTCAGTGTGTTAAGACACTGATCACACGATGAAGCTAGGGGGTTGGGGAGAGGGCAGGGGATGGCCCAAGAGCATTAGTCTCAGTTAGAAGCCACTTTATCCTGTGTCTCTGAGAGATTCATATTCCCTCTCTTGCTCTTCTCGCTCCATACATCTGAGTAATGGGAAGGTTAGAGTAACACAGAGGTGACTTCACAGTGGATGTGGAGGCAGCCAGACAGTATCTGGGATACGTTACATTATCCCAGGTGCAGTAATCATTAAGTATTTTTAACAGGGTATTTAGCTTTTCCAAGCTTTATCTCCCATATAGGAAACAGAGAAAACTCCTATAACTCCATGGTATGCTTTTGAGAATTAACTGACTATGTATGTAAATTGGGTAGGTTAAAAATGGTATCCATTATCAACATTGGTGCATCTAAATTGTCTTTTAGGTCAATTTAGTAAAAGAAATAAATTGTGGAATATCTCCTATGTGCCTGACATCCTAACCTTTTATGATTATTTGCCTGAGGTGCTAACACAGTCACCAGGCCATGGTCCAGGGCAGTAGTAAAGGAGTTCGTTCTGTTTTGGACTGACTTGTTTAATTCCTGAAACAATCTAATCTTCAACCAGTTCCTTTTGGAGATCAGGGATAATAATATTATGAAACTCTTTCACAATGGAATGGCTGGCTGTTAGAATTAGACAGGGTGGTATAATTAAGGCATTTAGCACAGGTCTGGCATTGAGAACATTCTTGGTTTATGTTAGCCTGGTTCATTATTATTATTATTATTATTATTATTATTATTATTATTATTATCATCATCGTCATCGTCATCATCATTATTTATTCTAAAGAAGGCTTTCCTAGGGACAGAGGGATGGCACAATGGCTAAGAGCACTTTTTGCTCTTGTTGGACCTGCGTTCAGTCCTCAGTACAGATATGGTGTCTCATAATCATCTGTGACTCCAGTTCTGGGGGATCTGTCTCACTCTGATCTTCTCTTTGGCATCAAGCACTCACATGGAACACATACATATGCAGGCAAGACCCCGCCCCACCCCCCCCAAATTAAATAAATTGCCCCTGGATTTCATGAAAGCCCACCTCACTTGTTTGAGTTCAAGTGGTAAAACCAAGATCCTTGATTGAAAACTGGGTTTTACTTAGAGGTTTCTTGGAAGATATTTAGTGGTCCTGCAGGTTCCTGTCATTTCTATCAGCTAATTCATGTTGACAAAAGAGAATGCTAACTTTTCTTTATGTGTTTTCATTTAGTATCCCAACCCCATGGATAAGAATGTCATCTCTGTAAAAATTGTGGAAGAAAAGAAGGGTAAGTTCTCTGAATATGGCCTGCTTTAGAGTATACATCCTTTGTGAAGGATGTATTTCTCTCTCTCTCTCTCTCTCTCTCTCTCTCTCTCTCTCTCTCTCTCTCTGTACGTGCATGTCTGTTATATCTTAGGCAGTGACTCTTGTCACTGAGGCTGGACATAATTGTGCAGGTAACATGTTGAAGTACTTAACTTGTGCCAACATCTTACTTTCATGAGCTCATTCAGCTTTTAGAATGATGTTTGAGGTAGGAATTATGAATTCCTATTTAATACAGGAGGAAACTAAAGCACAGAAAGGCTAGCCTGACCAAGCTCACATGACTGTGTCTTTACACATGACATTTTATAGATGGCAAAACATTTGTAGATAGTGCATAGATGAAACCAGGTGTGGTGTGGCTCATGTCTGTAATCCTAGATATTGAATGGTGGAGGCAGGAGGATTGGGACTTCAAGGCTAAGCCTGGATTATTAAAAAAAACAGCAGATAGATGTGTTGTTGCTATAAATTGCTTAAATTGAGGAACCATAACTGTAGTTTGGCAAATTAGACCCATACTGTGTGTTTTTGTAAGCAAGGCTTCTTCATCTGTTATAGCAAGAGCTGAGTATTTGCAAAGGAGACCATATAGCCCACAAATACAAATTATATACCCCATGACCCCTTTCCGAAAATATTGACTGTGTGCCAGCTTGGGGGTCTTTGGTGCTCTTTGTAGTCCTTTCTTCTAGGGAAGCATTGTGACTGTTAATGTTGGGACTTGAGTGGGCAGTGCCTGGAGCTCTGATGACGTGCACTGATCACCCAGAGTGGTGGCCCATTAGTGACATGTGTTTGGAGTTGTTTTACCTTGATCACTTAATTGTTATTTGGCTTAGAAAACTGATTAGAAAAACAGAATGTTTTGAAAATTTTTAATTTCATTTCAATATTATGTTTATGCATATGTCTGTTGGATATGTGTGCCTGGATATAGGTGTCTGAGGAAACCAGATGTGTTGGATCCCTTGGAAGTAGAGTTATAGGCAGTTGTGAGCTGCTTGAGGTGGGTGCTGGGAACCAAACTTATTTACTTTTTACAAAAGCAGTAAGCATTCTGAACCACCAACCCATCTCTCTAGCCCCTGGAAACTTAATCTGTGTTAAGCCTTATCTATAAGAATTCTACGTATTGAAAATTGAAGTTGAGCTAAAAAGCTCTATGGACCTTTAGATAAGGATATGTTTTTCCCTAATTATTTTTTGGCTATGAAATTTTCTTTTTCTAGATGAATCAACAGGACTCATCTATAGAAAGAGGATTGCTATCTGTCAGAATGTGGTTCCTGAAATGTTAAGAAAGGTAAATTCATTTCAGAGTTTAATCACAGTGGGGACAAAATTGAGGAATTTTAATAGTCATAGAAAAAGACAGCATTTTCTGATCTAAAGGAGTGTCAGAATTTCCTACTTCCTCCATCTCATAGTTTTGTAGGGGAACTATTTCTCATGCCCACCCCAGTTTTGGCAGATGCTGCTGGAGTGTGTCATCTCTGTCCTTCCTGGATGTGGGGAGATTTGATGATTATTCTGTGGGTACTTTTGGCATTTTTGAATGAAGTGTTGTCTTTTCTAGTCTGTCCATGGTTAGCAATAGGCGAGAAGGATGAGAAGTGAGAAGATTGTATTAGTCTCATGTTTGGTTGGGACATCCACACTTCTGTTTGTAATGCACTGTCAGAAATAATGGCTGTTTCTGAGAGCAGAATGTTTTTAGTGCCCTACGCAAGCCTGTGTGTTTCTGTAGAGTGAAGTCACCGGTGCTGTAATCTTCATGATAGAAAATTGTTTTTTCTTTTTGAAACCCTTAAGCACTCTGATGATTCTGTGTTGGGCGGAGGTAAGTTGAAAACGTCATTTGCATGGCTTGAACCTTAGATGGATTTTTCTTCTTGAAAGTGGGACTTACTACATAGTGCAGGTGGGCCTGGAACTTAGGGTATAGCCTAGGCTGGCCTCAAACTCAGGATAAACCTCCTGCTTTAACCATCTAATTACTGAGATAACAGGTGTGCATCATCATGCCTAGCTATAAAAGTATTAAAAATAGTTTTTATTTATTCTGAAAATTTCAAAATTTCATATGCATATGTGTGTACATATATATTTACACACACACACACATATGTGTGTCTTGATCTTATCTACCCCCTTTCCCCTCCATCTCCCTTCAGAATCTCCCTCCCAACTTCATGTTCTCCTATTTTTATTCTAGTATTATGGCTTTTACATTGTTGAGTCCAGTTAGTGTTACCCATATCTGCTTGGGTTTGTAGTTATCTACTGGGGCATGGGTACTCTCCAAAGAAAAGTGGCTCTCCCTCCTTTAACAAACATCAACTGCAATAACTCCTCAGCTAAGACCTCCCCCATCCTGTATATGCTGTCTAGGCTGGAATTTTTAACTGGCTTGAACTTACACAGGTAAGCACAGCTGTTATGAATTCCTATGAGACAATACATGTGAGTTAATGACAGCCATGTCATGTCCCTAAGATAGTCTTTTACAGCATTCCTTGTAGTGCCCGCGCTACGATCTGTTCCATGAATCGGGTGAAGGCCTAGAGATTGAAATAAAGAGACAAGGGAGCAGGTCATTTGTTCAATAATGGCAATGTCGGAATGCCGAATGCTGTTTATTGAGGGGATGGAACGGGCTTAAATACTGACTCACAGCACAGTGGAAAATTATAGGAATTTTAGGCTTTGCTCCTCCCTATGAGGAGGTGTGTATTGTCACGAGGTGTGTGTTATCAAAACTCGAAGAGTACCAACAACAGCTTTGGGGCAAGGAGTTCCAGCCAACAGCTTCAGGCTTGGCTCAAGGTGTCTCAGGTGTCCATGCAGGGGCCTACAATTCCTCCTTTCCAGTCTTTCTTTCTTCTCTTTCACCATGTTCTCTGAACCTTGAGGTGTTCAGTTTAGCTCTCTCTTCTATGGCTGAATGCTCACTGCTATTTATTCTCAGTATTATAAACAGTTACGAAGCTCTTCATCCACAATGTAGGATTTTTGATGGTGGACTTCTAATATGTAAGAGGAGAGCATCTTGACAGGCACTTAAAAATGCCTCAGAGGAGATTCCCTGTGTGATACAGAATGAATCTGGGTACTGAGGATTAGCTTGCAAATTAAATTGCTGTGCTTATACTAGGAAAAATGGCAGCTTCCTTCCATTCCTCATCGTAGGTTAAAACACTGTTATTCCCTTGGTGGAAAAAAAGCTAGAACCACAAAGAAAATGAACTTCTTTTGACTTGCAAATAGGAAGCTGTGTGGTACTTCAACATCAAATTATCACTGGCTTTTCCAGAGTTCATAGCTGCCTTTGCCCTATATACCCATTTTGAATCTATTATTTAAAAAGGCATTCAAGTTCGTCTTGTATCTCAATTCTTAAATAATTTAAAACTCTAACTTGTACAGTTCTGCCTTTGTAGCTTTCCTTGTCCTCTCCACCTGGGAAAGCATCGATTTCTAGGGACTGAACAGAGATTACAACGAGGAAAATATTTCTCTTGATACTTCCCTGCATGGGAGCATGTAGGTGGGCCTGATAAGAATCCATCAACACAAGAAGGCCTGCCTCAGAGGAGACATGAAGCAGCTGATAACTTTTTTAGTGGCCTACATCAATCCCAGGCCGTTTTCAAGTTCTGGGCAGCAACTAGAGAGGCCACAGTGTGTATGATTATCAGAGACTGAGGGATGTTCCTGAAGTGCCATCTGTATATCGGGACCACTTGTCCTCTTTGTTATCCAAGACTGAGATCAACTCTAGGCAGTCTTAATGTAGCTTGCTTTTTCTAAGTTGAGAATACTGTCCTTTCTCTGTTGGACAGGTGAGTATTTTAAAGGTACCTGATATCCAACTAGAAGAGGAATCGTGGCTCAGTCTTCAGAAAAGGAACATGGCTATACGGAGTCACTGCCTCACGTGGACACAGTATGCATCCATGAGGGAAGAGTCTGTCTTCCGGGAAAGTGTGGAAAATCCAAATTGGTAAGGTCACCTCTGTGTGTGTGTGTGTGTGTGTGTGTGTGTGTGTTTGTGTGTGTGTTGGGTATGGGGATCCATACACAGCACACGATTTCATACTTATGGTCTCTGTTTATTACACACGTATTTTATGTTATTTTTAGTCATGTACGTGAATATATTTCTTTTTGGAGAAAATATGACAGAACTCAATTCTTGTCCAAGTACCCTCCAAATTCTGGTATTTGCTTACTATCTCAAAAGACAATGAATGTTACTAATTTGGTGAATATTCTTTTGGACCTTTAAAGGCAATCTAGGTATTCAACAGAGTTTAAGTAAGGAAAATATTTGGCTGATGTTATCATTCATGTGACCCTGTCAGTGGGCCTGCCTAGCCCCTATCAAGTCAAGCAGCCTTAAGAGGATGCTTCCTCAAATATTAGCGTGACTGGTTTGTATATCTTTTTTACACACATGATTTAGGCAGAGTTTCTCTGTGGCTTTGGAGGCTGTCCTGGAACTAGCTCTTGTAGACCAGGCTGGTCTCAAACTCACAGAGTTCTGCCTGCCTCTGTCTCTGAGTGCTGGGATTAAATGCATGCACGGCATGTTATCTAAGTTTGTTTGCTAGACTGCTTCTTAGTTTTACCTATCTGATACTTGTAGAGCTAGGTTATTCCCCTGCATGCGATTTAACATTTTATTTAGTTACTGCTACTACAGTAGATACTCTGATGTCTAATTTCTCTTTGCTGTAAAGGAGAATATAACCTCCATGAGTTGTATGTCCTCTGAATATGACTCTTATGTGATATGTTTCACTCAGTGAAAATTTTAAGTGTTATATTTGTTTCAAGACTAAGTATAAACAATCAAATTTACCTTTCCTAGCATACAGTTCTGAGGAGTGACAGAACTGTACATATGATAAATATGTGTCTCTACTGCCACAGCCACTGCTTAACCCTGCAGGCATACTGAATCCTCCTGAAATGTGTGACTTTAAGTAAGTGAATTCTATGGTGTGTAGGGGGTCACAGATAAGCGATGGGGAAACCACGAGTGCTACTCATGCAGGATTTTCTCCTCAATGAAGTAAATGAATACCTGTTTCCATCCAGAAGGCTGGGAGTGGAACTTGTTAAAACCTGGTGACCTTGGTGACCTACCTGTAGGGCCAGACCTCACCCAAATCCCCCAGAATGTTTATCTCAGACTTTCCCTCCCTAGACCTTTATCTTTATCTTTGCTTCTCAGCCAATAAAACTCATCCTCAGGGGAGATGTCACACATAGTTTATAGCCTGCTAACCTCTACGCTATCTTGGTCAGATACTATATCAGGTCTTAGGCCCTTAAGCAAGAGAACCTATCTTCATGGTAGAGGTCATGCATATTTTGCAAAAGAGTTTCTATGTCATTACACCTTAAGATTTATTGTCCACATAGGATTGGGATAATTGTTACCAGGAAACTTTTTTCCAAAACTGTACTTGACTTAATATGTCTAAAATAAAGGGCCTCGTGTCAGGCTCCAGAAAGTTGAATTAGTGTCAGGCTGAACCAAGTTTCCCTCCCTCTTTACCTTGCTCATGTTTTCCTGTGTCCAAGACGCCTACAAGGATTCCCATAGCAGTTGCATGTCTCACATGCTAATTTTTAAATCACTGTGGGCTGGTTTTCAGTACATGTACATTTTGAGTTCTAGGAAATCTTAGTTTCAGATGCTTTAATCACATACCAGTCTTTGTGGTTCAAGCAACACCTGTGACTTTCTCATGGCTCTGGAGGCTGGGCAGTCTAGTCTGTGGGCATCGGCAGATCCCGTGCCTGTGAGGGACCTGCATCTAGCTTTGCAGATATCTGTCTTCTATTAAACCATATGATGGAGAACATGTGATCTGTTCTCCTCCCCCGTGGAACAAATTCCATGGCTGAGTTTCTCATTGAGTTGCTACTTCCCAAAGACCCAGGGTCATAACTCCTTCCCATTGTGGGTTAAGGTTCCAACACACAGGCTGGAGGCATCTGGATGGTACCTAGCTTGTCTCCAATGCGGTTTTCCATCTGTAGCACCAAAAGTACAATGCATTGCAATTCAACAAAATAAAAATGGCAACATAAAACTTTTGTAACACAGATTCTGGCGCCTTGTCGCCAGTGTGTTAATACACAAGTTTACATTCTGTAACAGCACTCGGCAGAGTTCATTTCCCTAATTAACACATATTTTAATTTTTGGTTATAATGGGCGAGAAGCAATCACTTCCTTGAAAACAGATTAAAAAAAAAAGATTTACATATCTTTACGTGTATGGCGTTTTGCCTGTATGAATATATGTGCATATATGTGTGCCTTGTGCCTGCAGAGGCCAGAAGAAGGCATTGGATTCCCTGGAAGTGGAGTTCAGGTGTGTGTGAGCTCCAGTGTGGGTCATGGGAACCAAACCCAGCTCCTCTGCAGGAGCAGCAAGTATTCTTAGCTGCCGAGCCCTCCCACCACTCTTCTTGTTTCTTTGAGACAAGTGTCTCACTCTTTACTTCTGGCTTCCCTCCATTCTCCTGCCCCAGCTTCTATGGTGTCTGTCATCTTTTTTGGCACCCAAAGATAGACTTTAAGACAAAAGTAAAGCATCACAAGCACTGAATATTAATGGTAACCATTACAGTGAATAATGTGATTTCAGAAGGTAGTTTACTGTGTTTTATTATTACTGTTCTGTGTGGGTTGAACATTTTTATTGTTTAGCTACAGTTTTAATGAAAATAATAAAACCTTCAGATAACTAATGGTCCCAATGTAAAAGCCATTCTTAGGGCCCAGCCTTTCTCCACATCATTCCCTCTTGCACAGCCCTGGCCAACACATCAGTGACTAGGATGTCCTGGATGAGTAAGGAAGCATGTCTCGTTCACATCAGAGGGAGACTCACAGAGCACAGTTTTTATTTTGCTGATGCCCAGAGCTGGGACTAAAAGCTGGGGCCAGAGAACAGAGCTCTGTTGTTGGTCTGCAGATGTAGTAAAAGGATGGCCTTGTTTGATTGCACACAAAGCGAGTCTTTCTTTTCATCCTCTGTGTTTTAGTACTAGTTTTTGTTAGTGTTGTTTAGTAATAATACATCTGGGCTATTGGATAACCTTAAAAGCTGTCTCTGTCAGTTAAATAATGATTTTCCTGGATAATCCAGGAAACTTTTCACTTTTTTTTTTTTAATCATATGAAAGAATAATTCTGATTGTGGGGAAAAGGTATATAACTCTGACTTTGGTAACTAATATTAATCAATTCTGGGAAACAAATCACATTAACTAGATATTGTGCTTATTTAATACTGTTCATGTATTATTTACATACCTCTATTCTTGGTCCATTTTTACTTGAACTTCTGAACTTTTAGCTATTATAGTGTAATAATGAAACGATCTCTGCAAATTATGTGTTTATCACATATTTAATTACTTTTTTTGGGTTATCAAGGCTAGTCTTGAATTCATTATGCAGTCAAGCATGACCCTGAACTTCTAATTCTTTTGCCTCTGCCTTCCAAGTACTAGGATTACAGGCTTATGCTACTATACCTGGTGTATGTGGTTCTGGGGATGGAACCCAGGACTTGGTGTATGCTAGGCCAACACTCTACCACTGAACTAAACCCCTAGCCTGATGTCTCTATGCTCTAAGAAGTTTTTGTGACTCAATTCTAATTTGTAGTATGGCTATGTGTATATATGGAAAAAGAGAGGATGAATAAATATGAATGTGTGTTATTGAGGACTTGACCAAGCCAGGCAGATGCTCTACCACTGGGCTATATATAGTCTCAGTATGCATAGTTCAAAATATGGAAATAGAAGTAATGTTTATTACTATTTACCAATCTTGTAAGACTCGGCTCTATGTTTATGTTTTTTGTTATCTCAGTACACCTTCCCCAGAAATGCTTACCTCCCCGTTTAAGAGTCCTGGGCTAAGAACCTGCTGTTTTACTTTCAGAGCTAGATTTAAGTCCAGGAAAGATGTGTATTCAGGGCTTTGTGTATTTGGTCTGGACAGTCCCCCACATGGTTGTCGTCTTTGTTGTTTGTAGGTCCAGAATGCTGTGGGTCAGTGTGTTTTGGCCAATGTCAGATTCTCTGGACTCAGAGACCCTGGGCTGGTGTTCTCCTTGCCCTTAGGACCCCTCTGGACAAGCCAGAAAATAGAAAAGTGAACAGAACAATACCAGAGCAAAAGTAAAATTATCTCCTGTGTGAATGAGCTTTTACTTGCAAAATGGAAAGTGGTGGTGTCCTGTTTTAAAGTTTTTAGAAGAAGAAAAGATGGATAATTTCTGCTTTTTGAAAATCTCCATTCTGAGAAAGGCTTATTAATCTCTTCGTTTTGTGTTTGAACGGTTCCGTCTTTAAGTTTGGTAATATATTTGATTTGATTTAATCCAATATGTCCAAAATATTATCATATATATAAAATTGCTAAAGGATATTTTACAGAACTTTTTAAGAAGCCACTAACATCTATTATTTAGGTATGCCATTACTGTGTTGAGGGCCTAGCACCCATGTGTGGCTGGTGTCTGCTACTTGCATGCTACATTTTGACTAAGAAGATAGAGTAAGTGTGCCATCTCTTGCCCTTGCCTTTGGGACCTCACAACCAGAGCAGCTTGGCAATGATGCTTTTGCATTCTAACCACTGATGCATGTGTCCTCTAAATACATTTATTAGTTTTGAGTTCTTATTTTGTAACTAAAAAAAAAAAAAAATTTTTTTTTTTTTTTTTTTTTTTTTGTTTTTTCTCCCAAGACATGGTTTCTCTGTGTAACAGTTCTGGCTATCCAGGCTGGCCTTGGACTCACAGATATCCTCCTGCCTCTGCCCCCCAAGTGCCAGGATTAAAGGTATGAGCCACCACTGCCCAGCAACTAAAATTTTTTGATGTTTCCATTTTGTGTGTATGTGTTCTTGAGTACATGTGTTCATGTGCCATTCATATATGTAGAGGTCAGAGGACAACTTGT